ATTAAGTTAATTATCATAATTAATTAATTTAAATCCTTAATTTCCTTTAATGTTGATCAAAGCCAAAAGTATCTTTGTTTATTTCAATTTCACCAGGAACTTTCATGATTAAGCAATTTAATCCATGGGTCTCAACTCTTTTCAAATCAATCCTTCATGTTTTAAATTTAGTCAAATAAATCCCTTATGTTTTTGGATTTAATCAAACTGGACCCTTTTAATTTCTACTTGTGTTTATTGTGCATGCATGTTCTTGATTTTGTTTCCTTCAGTCCAAAAATTAAGAAGTGTTTCAATTTGGTTTATCTCTTTTTTGACTCAACATAAACATGATGAATAAGTTGATTCAGAACCCCCAATGTTAAAGTATACAACCGTGTTTAAACGGAAGATTGTGAGGTGCGCGTATGTCCTTCCTCACTCCTAACCGAACCCCCGAACCCCGATCTCTGCGCATACCCGTTTTAGGTGACTTGTCCCACCTTATAATTTGGACGAGTGGCGACTCCCTCTTTTCTATATTTTTCACACTTCATTTTGATTTTTCATTATTTTGAAAAAAATCTTAAGTGGTCGTCAACAGTTCTCTACCCTTCACTTTCCTCTCCTTCCCTTCCAACAACTTCCCCAGTCCAAACAAAGTGTTAAAGAAGGGGGATTTTACATAGGGGAAGAGAGAGGTCGACGATCTGCATGAGGAAGAAGACTTAGTCCCCCCCCCCCCTTCTTGTTTTTAGGTTTATATGAAACAGTGAGTATTTAGGGATGGAGATGGGTTGACCAATTGGGTCAACTGGGCCTAGGTCTCCTTCATTAAATTGGACTAGGGCTGGATTGGGTTGGGTTTGAATAATTAGTGGGCTCAACATTGGGATTTGGGCTGGATTTGTGGTCTTAACTTTAATGAATTTCACCCTCAAAATTTTATTTTCTTCAATTGAGTCCTCCTTTTTTTTTTTTCAACTTCGTTTCCAACCTTTTCGCGAAATTCCCCTTTTGCTCGCAAAACCTTACAATAAAAACAAAAACAAAACATATTACTTAAAATAAAAATTTTATTAAAAATTTGAGTTATGACAGTTGCCCCTTTTTTCTTTTTTCTTTTTTCTTTTTTCTTTTTTCTTTTTTTTTTTTTTCTTCTGTCAAGAATGAAAAGAAAAGACAAGACAAGAATAACTCAAATTTTTTAACAGTTGAGCGACTAAATAGGTAAAGTAAAATTAGTCAAGTGATTGAACAAGTGAAGTAAAAACGGTTAAAGAGCCGTAACAGTTGAATAACCGAACAAGTAAAGTAAAAACAATTAAAGAAGTATAATGGTCGAATGACTGAACAAATAGAGTAAGAATAGTTAAAGAATCGTAACGGTTGAATGACCAAACAAGTAGAGTAAGAACGGTTAAAGAACCACAATGGTTGAATGGTCGAACAGGTAAAGTAAGAACGGTTAAAGAATCGCAACGATTGAGTGACTGAACAAGTAAAGATAGCTAACGAGCCGAATGAGAGTAAACATAGCCAAGAGGCCGTATGAAAGTAATGATTGTAAGATTTGGTAACAATGAAACAAATGCTAGTGAGACAACTTTTGTATATAAGATAAGGTAAAATGAAGAAAGGTTAAGAAGCTTCCCTGAACATATTGGATGTCCTTATTTTGGCAAAAGTCAAGTGTCTTTTTTGTTGTGCATTTGTCAACCTTCTATCACCTTTATGTAGCACCTTAATAGAATCACATTCATGTATACCTTATTGAATGCAAAAGGTAGCATCTCATTTGTCTCCCATAAAGAGATATTTGAAAACATAGCTCCAACAAGTTGAACTTTCATTTGTTATTGGAGTTTCAACTAGCTTGGATAACTCCTCAGCTATTGAATTCAACTTCCTTTCTCCTTGTAATCCTCATCCAACCTTTCAAATTTATCAAAAGATTTTGATTAGATAAACAATTATATTAACTAAAATAAAGTACCATATTCAACTAGTATTCCTGATATTTGATGAAAGGGTAAGGTTAGAATAAATGCGAGCAAAATGATGGCAAAGATCGATTTCATTAGATTCAAGTAAGGCTAGGATGATCAATAAGGGTAAATTTCATTTAGTGACAAGAAGAAGTTTGGCCAATAATACAAGATCTTGATGCAACTTGTTACAAGTTATTCAGACCATAAATCATTGCTTTAGATCATTTTTCTTTGCAACTCTACTCATTAGTCCTTTAGTCTATGAGAGAGAATCTCATTCCTTTTCTGAATGTTGACACTTCGAATCTTTCCCCTTTCATGAACTAGTTCTTGTGCTTGGAAGAAAAGTCCTAACTGCCAATACTTGGAGCCTTGTTGTCTCCTTTTTTCTTTTTTCTTTTTTTAAATGTCCCTTGATAGAGAAAGCTTCAAACCCTCAGATAAGGACTTTACATATTCTCAAATAAGGACTTTACATAGGCTTGTAACGTGGCTTGCGGTTAGGTTATCATGAAAGAAAGGATAAAGGTTCAAAATCCATATATTCCTTTCACATTTATCTCTTCACTTCCCCGATCATTAATGAAGGTTAACAAAAAGAAAATCATTTCGACTTTTGTGAATTTGAATTATTATCTTTTTCTGGCTCAAAAGGGGTAAGTAAAGGGCAATGTTAACTATTAAGGATAAAGAAAAGGACCTTTTATCATTGGATCTTCAACTTTCCAAGTCAGGGAAACATTTAATTTGTTAGGCTGCCCTTTCGAATTTCAACCTAACTCTTTTCTCTCTTTCTCTCTCTTTCTTTAACAATAATACTTTTTGACAGCATCGGCATTCACTAGATGATGATAATCAATTTCATCTAGATATCTTAGCAAAAAGTGCTCTTCTAGAGAAAGCTTCTTTAACAACATAGGGTCCTTCATAATTTGGTGCAAATTTGCTTTAGGGTCCTTTTCATTTGGCATAATTTTACTTAAGACGAGATCTCTTTGACAAAATATTCTAGGTTTGACCTTCTTATTGTAAGCTGCTACCATTTGCCGCTGATAACATTAGCCGTGACAAAGAGCTGCCAATCTTTTGTCATCAAGCAAGTTAAGATGGTCTATCCTTTTCTAAATCAAGTCTTCATCAACAATCCCTAACTTGGATAGGATTGTAATGGAAGGAATTTCTAGCTTAATTGGTAGCGTTGCTTCCATTATGTATACCAAGGAATAAGGGGTTGCCCTAGTTGAGGTGCGAACAAAGGTTTTGTAAGCATGAAAAGCATATGGCAACATTTCATGCCAATCATTGTAAGTAATCGTCATCTTGACTAGAATCTTCTTTGTCACACCCTAGAACAGGGAGCGAAACAGATGCCATACACCTGTGAGGGGATCTGACAAATGCACAATGCTCAAACCTACTTAATTCATAACTAGCAATCCATAACTAAGATCAATATCTTAAAATAAAATTTGACTTTCAACAACCAAAGCTTTGCTAGGTCAAGAGTATACAAAAACTTATACAAGTCCATCAGTGTAGCCATTACTATCTCTAAGGGGAAATCTAGTCTACAAAATAATGCTTTATGGTCTAAAGGCTATGTCAAATTTTTTTTTTTTTTGTTTAACAGCCTAACTCCAAAAGACAAGAGGCTAGCTTTCTAGCTCGTCACTCCCCTTGGTTTCCTCCATCTTGGGTTTCACTACCTGAAATGGTGGATAAGGAAAATCATGAGATATCTCAATAAATAAAAGATGGGTAATCCTTATTTAAAATTAAAGCATACCAACAATGTAATCAAGTATCAAGATAAAATCGATATGAGTATGAGAATGAAGTAGATGTCTCCTCTATAAGTCATGACCAGCATTTATAAACCTCCCACTAGCAGGCATAGAAATTGCTAGTGTATAATCCCACAAGTAGGATAACAAGTATAACATGGACTGATTCCACAATTAACATGTCAACATGTGCTAGCATTTATAAACCTCCCATTAATGAGCACAATAAAACATGACCATACTGGAGACAAAACTAGGCAGGAGTTAATAGGAAAACCATAATTTACAATTAACTTCAAGATCATCAAGGTAGTCAAGTAAACTCCAAATAAGCATGCTCAACTCAATAAAGATGATAATAATTTCATTTTAAACCAATTGTACTCATGTTTGTATGAAATGGGTTTAGTCCTGCCACTACTAGAAAAATGACGTATATGGACTGACCATATACGGACCAAATACTGTCGGTCCGAAAAACTAAATATTCGAACCAATATCGGTATGAATATACCAATGAACATATTCGGACCGGTATCGGTCCGTATATTTCTGGCCGCGTCACAGTATAGACGCGCCAATAATATTCGGACCGGTTTCGGTCCGAATATTATTTCTGAAAAAAAATAAATATTAAATACCAAAAAATATTTCTGGCGGGAGTCCACAGTGTTGACGCGCCAATAATATTCGGACCGGTTTCGGTCCGAATATTATTTCTGAAAAAACTAAATATTAAATACCAAAAAATATTTCTGGTGGCAGTCAACAGTGTAGACGCGCCAATAATATTCGGACCGGTTTCGGTCCGAATATTATTTCTGAAAAAAATAAATATTAAATACCAAAAAATATTTCTGGCGGGAGTCCACAGTA